GGGCCGCGGGGCAGCCTCGGCGCGCTTCGCCCTCCGCGCGTCTCGCAGCCGCCTCCCGCGCCGACCCGGCCGCATCCTTCCCGCGGCGCGGAGAGACGCTCCCCCCTCCGCCGAGCAGAGACTCCTTTTTCTCCTCCTCGGGAGGGTGTCGCCACCTGGATCGCCAAGTGTGAGGGATCCGGGAGGCGGGGAGCGGAGCACCGTGACCCGCCATGGCTCAAGCGGCCAAACAGCTGAAGAAAATCAAAGACATCGAGGCGCAGGCCCTCCAGGAGCAGAAGGAGAAGGAGGAATCCAACAGGAAGCGGAGGAACCGCTCCCGTGACCGCAAGAAGAAGGTAAGAGGGGGGCGGCGGCGACAGCCCGGCGGCAGAGGCGCCCTGGAGGTGGCCGCTGGGGGAAGGGGCTCGGCGGACCCAGGAGCGAGGTGCGGGCGCGGGGGCCCGGGCGCCGGCGGAGTTGATGCCGCCCTCTCGAGAGTGGAGGGCGCGGGGCGGGAGGGGTGGGAAGAGGCTTCGGTGCGGCTGCGAAGGGGACAGGACAGGAGGCTGGAGGGCAGAGCGGGCGGCCGGGAGGCTGAGGGCGCGCAGAAGCTGGCCGGCCCGCCGCCCGCGGAGACCTTTCAGCACCTTGGACAGATGCCGGCAGGCCCGCTCCGCTCGCCGAGGAACTTTTCCGGCCTCCCCACGGCCGGCGCGGGTGGTGAGCTGCTCCGCTCCGGCTCGCCGCCTCTCCTGGCTTTCCAAGGAAGCTGGTTTGGGGAAACGCGGCTCAGGATCCGGAGGCTGCTTTGCCCGGTGCCTCCCCTGGTGACTCTGTCTCCGGCGCAGAGAGCATGGTTTTCAGATCTCTGAACGAGCGGGGCTCCTGCCCTTCGCCTACCCTTCTCAAGCCCAGGAAACGCCTTTCCTAACCCTCTGGGTCCAGCAGCAAAAGGGCATGCCCCCAGGGCATTTGGCAGCATCTTACGTTCGGGTCACTCAAGATGAGCGACTGATGGCCGGCCGAGGAAGTTCCTTTGGAAGCCAGACACCGGTGCTGTCCAGCCTGGCGCAAGAGTCTGGTCAGAGAACAGGTCTGCCTTTTTGTGGAGGAGTGCGGAGACAAGATACCACCCCCCAAGGACCCAGACCCCATAGGGCAACTACTGCTGTGTTCAGCACTTCCCTTCTGGGTCTGGGGTCTTCCTCCCCCTGACTCAAGCACCTTTAGAAACATCTTTGGTGAGAAACACCTTTTAGCCTGAAACATATTTGATTGTGAAGGGAGGGGGGTGGTTAACTAGGCCCAGGGCTCCAGCCAAGAGCTATTTTAGAGCCCCCTCAGAACAGGCCAGGAACACAGGGATGCAATTCCGGGAACTGGCGATGGGGCTGACCTCCAGCTTCAGGAGAGCCATTTTAACCTGAAGAAGTAGATGTGAGGCACGGCATGCAAGCCTCCTCACCAGGGCAGGGGGCCCCTCAGGGTTTGGGGCAGAGGCCCTGGTCTTGGTTGAGAGGAAACAGTTTTTCCTGAAATTGCCTCTCTCTGAGAAAGAAGTTCGGAACCTGCAGTTGACAGCAGAGTATGGGGAACAGGCTGCCTGTGGGTCACAGTCCACTTACCAGCTGGTCAGCTGGACCCACATCCAACCTTTTCCTGGAGAGGAGACACGGGGCAGAGATGTTCTCTGAGAGTAACCAAAGTAACCCACGTGCTCCAGGCTGCCCTGTACCCCTTCAAAAGTCAGCCCCTCCTCCCTGGAGGGATTGCCATCTTGTGTGTAAATAGTAGTTTCCCAAAGGCACCACCCCTTTAGCAGGATGGAAAAAGAGGCCTTCCCCAAGCCGATGGTGAATCAGAGTTTGGGTTGGTGCCACTTAGAGAGAGAATCTCCTCAAGTCCTTCTGCTGGGGTCCGAAATACCGGAGCCCATCCTGTGAGTCAGGCGGGGGGAAGTCTGGTTATAGCTGACAGTGCTCACCCACTTGCTTGGCATGAATGTAAACTTCTTGTTCGGAAGGGTTGCTCTCTATTTCCATTCCTCCTATTGCGTTAGGAGCCAAGCCGATCCTCTCCCAAGCTACTCAGTCAATGCTTTTATTCCCACTTCTTGCTCGCGAGCTGCTTCCTTGATGCTCCTGATGGTGTAAATAATTTTTTTGAGCAATAGTCAAAACAAAACTCTCCCTTCTTCTCTTCTTGGTTTCTTTCCATTCTATGAAATTCCCTTTAATGTAACTCCAGATCCCGACTGTATGTAATACACACATATAAAAGTGGCAAGTTCAATATTCTTTTTACTTCTTTGGTCTTAATCTTTCCATTCTTGGTAAACTTTATTTCCATTTTGAGTGCTAGATGATGATATATTCCCCTCCTCCTGAGGTGGGTTATTTCGTTTTACTAGCTGGTCATAGCATACTGCGTCAGTAAGCATTCGAAAATCTTCCATACAGATTTTCATTATTTTATGCAGTATCCTGGGTGCTTTGATTGATACAACAACAAAAAGGAAATCTTAACTCAAAGTGATAGTGATGACGTAAGCTCTTAGAGCTGGTTCTTTGGCCAAGCGGAGATATGGGATGGGGTGAGCTGTGGGGTGCTTCCTTTGTATTACATGATTGTGAGTTCTCTTAGCCATTGGCATGCTCTTGGGAGCCATCTCAGAGAAGAGAGTTAAAATTTATAGCAAAATACAAAATCACAGGAAGGCGGAAGGCCCTCAAGGGAAGGGTGAGGGAGGCACAGCAATGCAGAAAGGACTATCTGGAGAAGGCAGAGGATGCTCAGCGGGCCGGGGAAGCAGATGACCCCGGGCTACGTGGAAAGTTCGCATACGGTGAAGTCTAACTAAGACCCACTTTTCACAAATGAAGTACTGTTTCAAGGCACAACATATTAAAATCAAGCAGCTGAGGATTTCTCAGTTGGTCACCACGACCACGGGGATGCTGTGGAACTGTGCTTGCCTCCGCATGGAGAAAGAACTTCATACATGCAAATATTTTCTTCCAGCGAATTGGTAATTCGTGTGAATGTGTAGCCGAGCCAAGGGCCTTCTGAATTTACTAAAAGGAAAGGTGTGTGTCCCATGGGTAACCTACTTCACGGGGACTGGCTGAGCAGAACCACATCCCTCCCCATTTGTAGAAATGATTGCGGTTGTAACTTCACCAGCGGCTGCAGTTTTACAGTTGATGGTGCTGTGTGGGAAGGCACTTGCTGAGGGGGCCATGCAACGGGGGGTGGAGGCTGGTGTTGTGACGCACTGGCTGACACAGATAGAAACCACATCGACACCGGGAATTAAGCTAAAACTCTGGAGCTCCAAGAATGCCTGCAGTCTTCTGGGGCTTCATTCAGTTTTCTGTTTGTGTAGCACACGGCCTCATCAGATGCTTGCTGTTGGAGCTGCAGCTTTTTTTTAAAAATATAAAATCCAGTATTTATGACATTTACTGAGAAGTCCCCCTGCATCTGAAGGTTGGGATGGAATAAATAAATGGCAAAGCGTGTGTAAAGCAGGCATTTGCATTAAAAGCGACAGCTTTCCAGGGCTGAGGAAGCCTTGGGCATAAGAATATGTGTGCTTTTTATGTTTCCCCAGAGCTGGAGTTTAGGAGAGGAGGAAGGGAGGCTGGAGAGAAAGTGAGGCCGAGGGTGGATGAGGAGGGAGAGAGGCAGAAGTAAAGAAAGGAGGAGAGGCTGCGGGGTGAGGGAGATAGAAGAGGGGGGCTGGCATTTCAGCCTGACTTGGAGGGGTTTCACAAAGCCTGCTCCCTGCAGTACCTGTAAGTACGCTGGGATAGTGTTCACGAAGCTCTCTCCTTATCCTTTGTTCTGTCCGCCTCACCCTGTGATGCTGGTGAAGGAGAAGATCGTGTCCTGTTCATAGCTGTATACCCACCACCCAGCTCAGTGCCTGACACACGGTGGGCAGGCAATGAATGTGTGCGGAATGGCTGGGGGAATGAGTGGATTCACGTATTTGTCTGTGCTTGCCTAGGTGTTGTCTTGGTCGTAGGTAGGTGTTCAGGTGAGCAATACACTCGTCGACTGACTGTCTTTTGGGGGCATCTGAAGAAAGCCTGATATTTCTCTCTTTTCTAGTCATTTGCAAAGCAATAGAGATTAGGAGGCAGGCAGTGGAACCACCTAATTTTTTGGCGCAGTGAATTCTACCACTGAGCATGCAGTGGCTTCCTTGCAGGGTTCTGCTGCTCTAAATGTCAAGTGGTTTTAGCCATTTGGAGCACCAACAGTATTTGCACAGGGCCCAGGGAGCCAGGCAGAAGAGGGTGCAGAAAGAAAAAAAGCAGCAAGCCCAGGAGTGGAGAGTGGCCTTTGCCTCTTTGCCATGCAGGCAGCACTGTTAGCCCTCTGGTCTGCGCAGCATCCCCCCGAAGGGCCCTCAGCCTCAGCACAGCGGGGCGAGGCCCTGCTCCTGCTTTGGTTGATCCAGTGATTGGAATCACAGGGGAGATCTGGGGGCGCCTGCACGAGACTGGAGTGGTCATGGCTGGGCTTATCACCAGGAGGGTGATGGGGGTGGGGGAGGGGGTGGGCGAGGGATGAGTGAGAATGGGATGAAGGGAAGGGAGTTAAGCATTTGTAAAGCGCCTCAAATTTAAACTTCTGCTGTTATCTCCAGGTGAGTTTGTAAATTCGATCTGAGAGATAGTGGACATGATTGAAAGAGAACGACGTTCATCACACATCTTTAAACCTGCGTCCTGTGGCCCAAGCACGTCACTAGCATATGTTGCCACATGAATTGATATTTGTATATAAAGTTTCTATTTGGCTTTTGAATTGCATAATTATGTTGCATTGCATGGTAATTATTAAACGTGTTAATTTATTAGTGGCGAGCCTTTAAAATATAACACAACTTTGGGAACCCTGCTTTGGCATCTCTTATTTTGGTACCTTGGGAGTGTGGAAAAATGGAAGTGGCCCTGCCCCTCGAGAGCTCTGGGAGGTGCCGGCAGCGGCTGAAGATGTGGGAATTTTCCCAGCCTGCTCTGTGTTCATCTCCCAACCCAGCGCCTCCCTCCCTGCTGCAGAGGCGGTGGTGGGGGGCGCTGCTCCTCGGGAGCTGCCGTCACCCCCAACCATTGGCTGGACCAGGAGAGCAGGGTCTTGCAGGCAGAGAGGATGTCACACCCTCAGTTGTGTCCAGTACTATACAGTGTGCACATCGTCTGCTCCTCACAGCCACTACTCAAAGAAGATGAGGCAGCAGCCGAAATTCAGAGCCTGAAGCAAGTGACCTCCCTGTGAAGGGGACCACAAGCCAGTCCCCAGGACCTGTCTCTTCTCTTGCTCACCACTTCTGCTTATCTACCCT